CTGTCTCAACCCCCTCCCCCAAAGGTTAAAACCCTAACCTATCTCTCTCTCCGCTATATCTCTCTCTGTCTCTCTGTCTGTCTGTCTGTGTGTGTGTGTGTTTGTGTGAACCACAAGTGTGCAGGTGTCCAAAGAGGCCAGAAATAATGAGAAAGACACCTGATATCAACCTATACCCACTCCTCAAGTACACACACACACACACACACACACACACACACACGAGAGAGAGGGGGGTGAGGGAGAGAGGAGAGGTGGGGGAGGAAGGAAAAGTGGAGGGGGAAAAGGAAGGCAGCCAAACCTGGCTGGGATCAGAGACCCAAGGGAGAGGATTCAGCTTTGGACACTAGACTTGGGTGAGCATCAAAAGGCTCACTACTGCCTGGCTAAATAGAATGGAGAACTGAGAGAGTCATTTCCTCTTAGACTTGGTCTCCACAAAAAGAAGAAATAGCTGTCTGTCCTTGTAAGAACTCAGCCTCACCCAAACTTCTGTTCCAAGCACAAGTTCAAAGTGAGCTCGCCTCATCCAAAACACTGGGAAATGTCATGCTCGCTCTGTTCCTAGGATGACTCGCCACCCTACCCTGTGGGATCCTTCGTGGTGTTTAACACGCATTGTCCCCAAGCACTGACCATAACAGCGGAGTATGTCCAGCACTCACGAAACATTTCCTGTACCAGATTTTGTCCTAAGACCCCTTAAGCAAGACCACAGCCCCCAACTGCTGTGAGGTTGGTCTACTATCACCCACAGTTTATGAAATGAGACACAGAGAAAAATTAAGCAACTTCCCCAAGCTCATAGGGCTTAACTAGTCTGGATTCCATAGGCTCCGAATCAGCGGTGGCTGGCTTTCTTACATTAAAGCCTTCTATCAAGTCTAGAACACATAGGTCACGTAGTAGGACTGGCGAGGTTAACTTAAGAATGAGGCTGGGGACCACTCAGCCTTCCCTCCCACCACATCCTCTTTCCAACATTCCTGTTACCCCTGTTGCTACCGTGATGCCCTCCAGACTGAAAAAAGTGTAGGTCTATCCTGCAAACAGGGCTTAGGAGGAGACAAAGGAAATCCAATGCCCTGTGTCTGTGGCCACGTGCAGAGAGCGGCACATTCGCTTAAGTGCTGAGATCCCGAGATCCGTGGAGCAGCTGTGTCTATAGATACTTGCAAATATGGGAACATATTGGGTGGCTTGCTTTATGCAAGTTGAGATGTCCAGGTATGGTGGTTTGAATGAAAATAATCCCCATAGGTTCATATGTTTGGATGCTTGGTCCCCAGTTAGTAGAACTGCTTAGAAGGATAAGGAGGTGTGGCCTTGTTGGAGGTGTGTTACTGGGGGTGGGCTTTGAGGTTTCAAAACCCCTTGCCAGGCCCAGTGTGTCTCTGCCTGCTGCTTGTAGATCAGAGTGTATAGTTATCAGCTACTCCCCCAGCACCATGCCTGTCTGCTTCCTGTCATGATGATCATGGACTATCCCTCAGAAACTGTAAGCAGGCCCCAATTACATGTTTTCCTTTATAAGTGTTGCCTTGGTGATAGCTGTTTACTCCAATAGAACAATAGCTAAGACAGCATGTCACACATCTGCCTGGGACATGTTCCACATTCCCAGGCCGACTCTGTGCCTGTGTTAGGGATGCCTGTCTCCTCACCATCACTAGATTAGAGAAGCCAAAGAACAGAACTCCAGATGCAAACAGAGCCCAAGCTCTGCATTCTAAGAGCTACAGCTTACTCTAGGTTCAAATCACACCAACCACTGTAGTTCCCACCAGACCGAAGACAGAGAACCTTTCGTGGCACCCCTAAACTGTCAGGAATATCTGGATGGTCAATGTTTCTTGGGGACATGGGGTAGAATCACCATACAGTAAGTGATGAACTCAAGGCCCTGTGAAAGAAACTATCGCAGAAAAAAAGCCATGGACATCAGTTCAACCGACTTCCCAGTAAGAAAGTGCTTGCAGACACACTACGGTACAGAGTACTACTGTGTGCTGAACTGTGCACACTGTCCCCCAATTCCTATATCTAGCCCTGACCCTCCACATGATGAGACGGTGAGGCCCCTTGGGAGATGCTCAGCTATAGGGGGTTTTAGGGGGTACAATCCTCAAGTCAGACTGGCGTCCTTCTAAGGGACACCAGAAAGCTGGCTTTCCACCCTTGAACACAGCAAGAAGAGGGCGCGTGCGCTGATGGTGAGGTGATGCAGAAATCCTATCACCAGAACTGAGCTGCTTTACACCTTGACTTTGGGCTTCTGGGCTCCAGAACATAAAGGAATAGGTTTTTGTTGTTTAAGCTACTCTGTCTGGTCACTTGTTAGCAGCAACCCGAGCAGACCAGTGTGGACTTCAGATGCAGGCGTTCAAGCAGGTGTTCAAATCTGGACCCATATTTAGAGTTGTGCCACTATGGTCCAGTCACAAGGTTTCTCTCACTCATGGTTTTCTCTTCTATAAATTACACAAGGAATATATGACTGTGTGCGGACACAGAAGGTACCTCAAGTTGTCTAGGACACAACACATTTCCTCAACAGGAACATCATTCCATATACACTGCATATACACTACCTTCATAGTTACGGGTAGCATGTTCGCCACACTTGGACCACAGTGTTTTGTTAGGTCTGCACCAAAGCTTGGAGAAATTTACACTTTTAAAAACCAACCTTTTTTGAAAGACCAGAAAGTCAGATACACCAATTTATAAAAGATAATTTAAAAACATAATAAAGCTTAAAATCGTAAAAGAGCTGGGTGTGGTGGCTCATGCCTTTAATTCTATACTTAGGAGGCAAAGGCAGGCAGATCTTTGTGGATTTGAAGCCAGTTTGGTCTACATAGTTGAGTTCTAGGAAAACCAGAGCTACACAGAAATAAGTTTTTAAAAGAAAAGAAAAGAAATTCTACATAAAAAAAATTTTAATTTCGGGTTTTCTGGGAGCATCTTAGCATGCATAGTTCCCAGCTGGCCTTGCCATTCAGAAGGTCCCTTGGCACGCAGTGGCTGCTTTGCTTCCCTGGGTTGTGGGGGCAGGTAACATCAGGGGCTGGTTCCCACCTTCCTAACTGCCCACAATATCTTTGAAGTACAATGTCAGGATCTGTCTCCTGAAGGGAGAAACAATTAGCACATTCCTGAACTACTGGATTATTTATTTATATTTCCACTAGGGGTTGAGGAATGGGGTTAGGAACTCAGTGCTTTTGGAGTAAGCTGGGCTCTTTCTTGTAAGTCAAGCTGGTGACCCAGCTCTGCCCCTGAGACCATATCTTCTTGGGACCTCACTTTCCTTCCCTGTAAAATGAGGCTTTGGGCTAGATGGTCTCTTCTGTCTTTTTCCACATTTATGTAACTGTGATATGAAATTCAAGTGCATAGATAGAAATGGACCACAACAGTTTGCTTATGTGCTGAGCAGGCTTGAATGAAAACAGATCCAGCTGACCTTAACATAGACCCTGATTCAAGGTAAACAAGGTTTGAACAATGGCCTTGTTTGTTGTTGGCCCACTGCAGAACTGGGTCTTTACCCTAGATGGTTTAACACACTCAGAGAGGAATTAAAAGCCTAGCTAACTCAACTTCCCAGCCCTAGCTGAGCCTGGGGCTCTGAGCCCTGTTCTGAACCTTTCTCATTCCAGGACACAAATCCAGCTGTGCCACCTTCCATCCAGTAACCTATGTACGTAGGCTTTCTTACCGCATGCACAGGACCTGTGTACCTGCTGATTCCTCCCACTGGAGCCTTCTTCCCCCTAACGAACTCCTGTAGACCTTCACATCACAGCATACGCATCACCTCCATTGTCCCTGGACTCTTGGCACCAAGTCATGTTAACATGCTTTCTTCATATCAATTATGTCATTCTATAGCTCATGACTTGTTGACTAGTGATCATCTCCCATCAGACTGTACATCCCAGGAGAGTGAGCTGGGGATGTGGCTCAGTTGACAGAATGCTTGCCCACTAAGCAAGAGGCCCTGGGCTCCATCCCCAGCATCTTATAAACCAAGGATGGGCCGGGTGGTGGTGGTGCACGCCTTCAATCCCAGCACTCAGAAGGCAAATACAGGTGGATCTCTGTGAGTTCGAGGCCAGCCTGGTCTACAGAGCTAGAACAGCCGTGGCTGTTACAAAGAGAAACACTGTCTCGAAAAACCAAAATAAAAATGAAATAAACCAAAGATGGGTACTTGTAAACCCAGCACTCAGGTGGAGACAGGAGGATCAAGAGTTCAAGGTCATCATCAGTTATATAGTTAGTTCAAGGCCACTGCAAGCTACCTGATTGGGGGAAAATGAAATTTATGCCCTGGCAATGCTGAAGCATGCATGGGCAGCCCGCATATGGCAGTTCTGTTGAGTTTGTCCATATTGGGTATCATGGTCTAAGTTGATGAGAATGACTGACCGGGTCTCTTCCTCAAGAGTGCACCAGATCTCATTACAGATGTGCTTGCTGGGAACTGAACTCAGGACCATTGGATGAACAGGCAGTGCTCTTAATTGCTGAGCCATCTCTCCAGCCTATAGGCTACCTGATACTCTGCCTCAAAACAAAGCAATAACAAAAACCAGGAAAGCAGGGTCCACATATGTCTGCTCCAGCACCTGGCCATCAAGGAGGTACTCTGATATTTGTTACTAAGTCTTTTATTAACAGATATAAATCTCAAGTATCCTGACTCCAAACACTAAGTCATATTGTCTAATATAGTTCCCAATAAGTGTTTACAGAATTAGTATCAGCCCCTATCTATCAATCTGTATCCCCAGCACAAAGTGAATAATACACATGAGCATAGGCATTGTACCTGAATGAGAAGTCTAGATGGTAAAGGTCTCAACACAACAGACACAAGAACAGTTTTTCAGCAAGCAAGGGCTAAGTAAGACAACGGGAGTGGGAGGCGGGGTAGGGGGACCCTAAGCCTCCTAATGGGAAAACAGCACTGGTTTTGGCCAGTCAAGTACCTGATGTTCTCGTTCAGTGCATACAGTTCATTGCTCTGCAAACCGCCCCCTTTGAAAACGTTGATCACAGCTGTCTGTACGCTGCAAAGAGACAGAAAAACATTCCAGTTAGGTGATCTGCCTCCAGGAGCCATTTTTTCAAACAGATCACAGGAGAGGTCATGAAGAGCTGGGAAGCCCTAGGGGATACTCGCAGCTACATCTTCTGTCCCTTTCCTTAATGTCCTAGAAGTACTAAGGAGACCAAGGCAAACGAATTCAAAGGCAGTTCCAGGCATCTTGCAGGTCACAGAGGGCTTCTTCCCCCTGGTCACAAAGAGGCAGACAGTGGACCAGCTCCCCAAGAATTGCCACTACTGGGGCCTGCAAGCATCCAGAAACCGTTCATTGCCAGCAGGGGCTGACCCTGTCTGATCTTACAACTGGGAAGTCACCATTCTTCTCAGATAGAAACTGTATCTGTTTGCCTTTATAACAGAATTTTCCATGGGCCTTCCTTGTCTTTTTATTTCACCCCAGTGAGGGAAGTAGACAGGCATAGGGTTAGGCTCTTAGCGCTGCAGTCAGAACTCAACTCCACTCAACTCCAGGGTCCTGGGTCCAAACCCTCAGCAGAAGACCTGGTTAGAATATTGTCTGCACTGAGGAATTTTACAGGAGTCAACGACCCTCGCAATGCCAGAATATTCCAGGCGGCCCCGCAGAGCGGCACCAACAGAGGGGGTCTGATGGCCAGCCACTTCGAAAGCACACAGAGAATTCAGTGATGCTTTCATTTATCTGGAGGCCACCCCAGATCTGGAAACCAGTAGCCCGCAGACTTATGAGGCAGTGCTGGTGTGCTGATCTGCTCAGGGCTTGGCTCACAAGCTCTGCCGGACACCTTCCAAAGCTACATCTCCTGCCCCAAGCACTAGCGGCTCAGGTGAAAGAGACTGTGGCATATGCCACCCACCGAGCTTTGCACAGAAACACACCTAAGCTTCCTAAATAAGAGATATGAGGTCATTTGAAAGACTCTGCCCTTAAATCCTCACGCGGTGAAGGGTGTTCAGGGGCATGAACAGTAACTGTAAATTCTAACTCAATGATCCCAGGCTGGCAAAATGGATCCTGATAGGCTAGAACTCACAGTGAGCTACTTTCGCTATGAAAACAAGGGGCACTTGCCCCAATCCTCATCAACACTAGGATCAGACCTCATGAGCAAGGCTCTCGGGCAGCAGATGTTCAACCCATCCCCAGATCATACCAGACCCCTCCCTCGTGGTCCTGGACCCTTACCTGTTCCAGGCAGAGTTGGAGCTCAGCTGCAGAGCCTGCTGGGCAGCCTGGAAGCGGGGCAGCTCACTGAGCACGGGGGAGCTCATAAATCGTGGTCTGGGACTGCGGAAGGAGCCCATCTTGTGGAACTCAATGGGCAGGAGGGGAGCAAGGCCTCGGGTCATAAGTCTAGGTGAGGATTGAGCTGTGTCTTCAGGACCAGATGTTTCTGGCCACGCACGGAAAAGACTTCTCCCAATGCTGCTTCTGGGATCTCTTAAAACCCCACTCCGAGCCAACACCTGAAACGAGAGGCGACCTCTCCTGAGAATCTGGCTGGAAACATCTAACTAAAGGATGCTGGCGAGACTCTCTAGCTAAATGATCCTAAAATCAATGAGGAAGGAGACACAGCAAGAGCCTCTATTACCACTGAGGCTCCTGTTCATTGTGTGTGCGCTTGCGCTAGGCAGGCTTGGAGCATGGGACATCACTTCATGACTGAAATACACCAAGTCCTCCAAACAGAAAGGCAGCCTTTGTGAGCGCCTCAAGAAAAACGTAAAAGCTCCTTTTCCTTGGCAATAAAGACTTTCCACCCTCTGTCCCATCAGCCACTATGTGTTGTCCAATATTCCTCAGGTCACGAGTGTTTCCTCTCTCAGGCATATCTTGCCATCCCTTTCCTAACCTGTGGTGTGTTTAGTCCATCAGGACATAGTTACTGTATGATGTGTAATAACCATTGTAACATGTCAAGCAACCAAAATCTCTAAGGCCCAGGCCCTGCCTGCCTTCCGGAGACTCTCACTTCATGGTAAAGATGACTGATTGCTCTCGTACCTGTTCATTCAATAAACACTCACTGAGCCTGTAAGCTCCAGGTGCTGAGATACTGCAAGATGATAAGAAGAAGGCCATGGGGCCCTTTCATGTAACCGTCCCGTGTAACTGGTCCGCTACCCTGCCCCAGGCCCTTTTCTCGTTCTCCTTTACCAGAATGATCTCCCTTTGGCTCTGTGCATTTCTAAATCTAACTACTTCTGTCAGGTCAGGTCAATAGAATCTTTGTCACTGCGCAGGGCTAGGTGCAGACCTGCAATCTTAGCTACTCAAACGGCTGAAGCAGAAGAGTCCAAAGTCAAAAGCATTCCTGGGCTACAGTACCTGTTAAAGTCAACCTAGACAACTTAATTAGACTCCCAGCTCAAAATAAAAAAATGGAGAAACTATAAAAAGTGTCAGCAAGATGGATCAGAGGTAAAGGTCTGCCACCCAGCATGACAACCCAGAGTTCAACCCCTAGGACCCACATGATAAAAGGAGTGAGCCAACTTCCACAGGCTGTCCTCAGACTTCCACAAGTGCACTGCTCACACACACACACACACACACACACACACACACACACACACACAGAGTAAGTAAACATTTGTCTTAAGTAAAGAGGACAGGGAATGTAACTCAGAAGTAGAACGTGTATACATGTCATAAGCTCTTTGGGGTCAATGTTCAGTTCCACATGCACAAAATAATCTTGTTCCTTGTTGCAAAACAGAAGATGCTTTATATCTCCTGTGGAATGCGACGGCTTTGCAATGAGCTTTGGTTCTGGGGTTCAGGAGTTTACTCAGGCCCTCCCACGTCGCATGACTTCAGACACTGTGAGTGTTCTCAGGTGCTAGTGTACCAGCCTCACAGGACTGGGAAGGGATGAAACGAGATGGGCTGACGTGCCCAACAGGCGGACAGAGCGCTGTGCCTCAGGGATAGCTCGCTTGATGCTCCTCTCTCAGCGCTTCTGGACCCACCATTGCAGTCACCTCAGCAGACTGGAGTAGAGCAGGAAACAGCCAAGGGCGCTTTCTCTCTTGAAAGGTTTAGTAGATTTCACTCAGGGTGTGTTTTTGTTTGTTTTGTTTGTTTGGGTTTTTATTTTGTTTTGTTTTTTTACTGCTACTTCTGGCCTAACTCAGATAAGTTAACTCAGATAAGTCCCAAAGACCAACGAAGGAAAAAAAGAAAGATACCAGCCACGAGTGGCAGGCTGCAGGTTGGCAAGGCAAGTTCCCCCAGTCTCAGGGGCAGCATTTGGCACACAAGGAAGGGACACCACAGCCAGCAGCATGACAATTCAACTTGTCAGGAAAATATGGAGGTGCTTGTGGCTTCATGGAGGCAATGGGCCTACTGACACTGGATTCATAGGCTCAGAAGGCTGGCTGGTCCCACTTTATAACTGTAACTGCTTTCCTAAAGGGAAGCACTTTCATGTGCCATCTTCTTAAACAGTCTTTGGCTGGGAACCCTGCACACTGAGCAAATCAAGTTATCAAAATCGATTAATAAATGCTGCAGAAGCCTGTTAAGTTCTGGAGAGGGTTTCAACAGGTTCCCAAATGCCAGAAAACCTAGAAAGATCTCTGCACATCAGTGATGAGCGGAGGGTAAAATGAAACCATAGATCCCTCAGAATACAAACACTGGCTGGCTCAAGGCTTCGCTTGCCAACAAAGGTCCCTCTGCTTAGTCACGATGCATCCCTGGGCCCCGCTCTGAAAGGCCTGTGAAGTACAATCACTGTGTAATTACCGTATATTAACTCACCCTGTAAAGCTGCCGCCCACTCTGGGGCACTGGCTCAGGGAAGCAGAGGAAGGCATGGGACGCAAAGTCAGGGGCAGCGCACGTGCCATTTCTCCTAGGGGCTAAGACTACAGAGGCTCTGAAGAGGCTCCTGCCCCTCCATATCTCAGCTACAGGTCCTAGATCTCCCATCTGAGCACCCCACACAGCACCTAGGCAACCCCGGTCACATGGGCCAGCTCCAGCAGCATAGCCTGCCCTGTTATAAACAAGGGTAACTCTCAGCCCAACAACTGCAGTGCACACACCTGAGTCAGGGACACACGCAGTAAAACCTTCCCTCTGGTTTGTTTTCAGCCCCCATATGTCATCCTTCTCAGCTGATGAAGATGAGGAGAGTATGTGGTCCCCACCATCCCTGCTTGTCACAGAGGCAAGCAGTCGCATGGAGACCAAGGGAGAAGGCTCTGCCCACAAGGGCCTAAAGAAAGGTTGGTGCACCAACAGACGTGGTACACATGAGCAAACAGATTTATCCAAAATCTGCAACATGGGATGAAGCCAACACGGCCTAGAACTTCCATTCCGCAGTGCCAGGCCTGAGAAGTTCTGCAGCCCCACCGGCCAGGGTAGGAAGCCCTTGAAGCCCGGGAGGAGATCCACACACACGGAACGTATAAGCCTTAGCTCACCGCTCAGGACAAAGGTAGAATTAAGGATGAAGGGGGCATGAGTAAACTGCCTGATAGGATACTGGGCACAATCACCAAGGTGACTGACTATTCAGCCCTCTCAAAATGCCATCTGAAGTTAGATAAGTTAAGTAACCTATCTGAGGACCCAAGTCACTGCCATGTCATGGTCAGCCTGCCTTCCCAGCCTATCTCCACTCTCCACACTACTAAACTCAGACAGGATCCTAGAATTAAAGTTACTGAGTTTGAAATACCCATCACCAACCTTCATGTCAAAACCTAAATCTCATGTCACCAAGATAAGTAATCTACCAAAACCAACTGGACGGGACACACACACACACACACACACACACACACACACACACACACGATCGGGACCAAAGGAACAGAGTAAGAGGAAAGACCCCATGAGGAGATGCAGGCTTGCCAGTCAGACAGACAGCCTTGCCTACTGTGTGACCTTGGACAAGGTACACGACCTCTGAAGCTTGATTTTTTTCTCTCCAGGAAAGGGATACACCAACAGTGAATCCTCAGGGTACCGGGAGTGTTTGTAAAGCACCCACATGCTTTACCTGACAAGGAGCAAGCTTGACACAGTACTGACCAAATCAATAAGGGAATACTGCCTTGTATTGTACCAAAATTGCCCAGCCCTCACAGCAGTGGCAAAACAGCAATGCTTCTCTTATTGCTAGGGCCTTCCCCAGAATCTGAACCACATTCCCTCCAGCCAGGCCCCTGACACTGTCAAAGAAATGGACTTGATCTCTTCATACATTGGTGTCTTACACACAGCTTCAAGTACTAAGGCTTCACCGCCCTAACTCATATATCCCCTGCTTCTAAATCTCACCCAGCCCCGGGCTAGGGATGCAGCTCCGACAGAGGGTGCCCCAGTAGCATAAACTAGCATTGCATAAACCAGCATGATGATACATGTCTGTAATCTAAGCACTGCAGAGGTGGAACAGAGGATCAGAAGGGCATAAGGGTGTTTAAGGCCAGCCTAGGCTACCAGAGACTCTTCCCCATAAACAAGAAAACATACATACATACATACATACATACATACATACATACAAATAAACATATCATGCCCAACCACAGGAAGCAGGCAGAGCAAGGATTCCACCCTTAATTAAGAAACTGAGGCAGAGTGACTCAGCCAGGACCGGAGGGCTATAACTAACCCAGAGCTAGTCAAGAAAGGCTCTACCTTTAAGCCTGGTCCCATAACATATCAGCCCAGGTGACTGGTTTTGTCTTTTTTTTTCCTAAATATTTCAAGATTATGACTCATTATGAAAGTTATGACTCAGTATGACTCACACTTGAAAAGTGTATGCAACCCAGGCAGTGGGGGCACACATCTTTAATCCTAGCACTCAGGAGGCAGAGGCAGGTGGATCTCTGTAAGTTCAAGGCCAGCCTTGGTCTACAGAGTGAGTTCCAGGACAGGTTCCAAAGCTACACAGAGAAACCCTGTCTCGAAAAACAAAAACAAACAAACAACAAAAAAACAAGAAAGAAAAAGAGAAAGAAAGAAAGAAAGAAAGAAAGAAAGAAAGAAAGAAAGAAAGAAAAAAGAAAAGTGTATATGCACATATTTCAAATATGACAGAGACCTGCCAGCGCTGGAGGAAGACAACAGCGCCTCAGAAAACCACGCCCCCACTTCCTGGACAATGGCATATTTGCTTCTATAGGGGAAAAAAAGGAAGAGAGAGAGAAAAAGGAGGAGGGGAAGGAGGAGGGAGAGGAGGAGAGAGAGAGAGAGAGAGAGAGAGAGAGAGAGAGAGAGAGAGAGAGAACATTCAAGGTGTCTGCAACAGGAAGTGGCAGGCTACCCGGCAGCTGAACGTACACATATTAATGCTAGCCATGACGCCACCCGTAGCCACTAAACACTTAATATGTGTCTTGTACAACTGGAGAGTGAATTTGGATTTTACTTAATTTTGTGCCTGTGTCTACATGTTCGTGTGTGCACATCTGTAGGAGCAGCAGTCACCATC